AGACGTTTCGAAGTTAATAGAAATTTTATAAGGCAAGACTTAAGAAAAATAGTTGTACTTCGAAACACTTAAGTAGATAAATTTGATACGGCGATGGGGAAGTTAAAAGGAAAACATAATGAATGGGTGAAAACCGTCGAGAAGTTAGTAATTAGGCGAAAAACCGAAGTAGCTTTAAACTTTAAAGCGTCGGAATCCGCTAATTAAAGGGCTAAGCCGGGTCAGTCACGTGGCTCGACGGAAGTAACTGCTTTGCCAGTAGCTTATCAATGCTAACAATCAATGTATATTAAATAAGTACAATATTTGGATGGTAGGCTCAGCAAAAAAAGGTTTGCAAACATTAAGTCGCATTTCTTAATATTATGACTATTTTGGAGTACTGATTCTTTTTCAGGAGTTAGGCAACGCTAACCAGAAAAGACTTAAGAAAAGATTTAAAAATTCAAAACCTATATAACATATACTGTTGTTTCTATTGTTGGATTTAAAATTTAAAACTAATTATAACGTCCGTTTTTCGATAGCATATGTTTCCTAAATCCACTTGAAAACTTTTGATCTGATTGTTTTGAGGTGGATGAAATATCATGTTTAGGAGTACAGGGTTTTTAATGAGGGAAACAATGAAATAAAATAATTTAAAGATCCGAGACAAAATCTATTAAACGTGTTTTGGATCATTTAAATTTGGTGTTCATATAAGGGAATTTATAGTTTGAATATACAACTATTAGATATATTCCAAACCAACAAAACTCAAACTTGTCAAATAAGCATGCACTAAATGCATGTACAAAATAAATTAATTTGTAAATTATTATATTGAAAAAACTATACCTTTCCCTAATTTATTTGAGAAGTTATTAATTGTATTTGAGAATCATTACTTGTATTAGAGAAAATATTAAATGTAAATTAGATTAGTCAGTTGAATTTGAATAGTCAATTGTATTTGAGAAAGTATTACATGAAATTGAGAAATTGTTAATTTTATTTTAAAATTTGGGCTTTTAATTTGAGAAGTTGGTTATTCATCAGCTGAATTTTGAGTTTCTCACTATCAAATGACAAGTTCTCAAATTCATTTAACCATTTCTTAAATATAATTTAAATGACTTTGATGCCCTCTCAAATACAACTGACTGGCCTCAACTTTATTTGATGTTTCAAAAATATATTTGACGAATCTCACATACAATTGATATGTTCTCATATAAAAAGAACTGTTTCTCAAATAAAATTGGAAAGGTGTAGACAATAGTTGATTCTTAGAATATTCTCTTATAATAAGCTATTTTAGGTATACGATTACAAGGCATCCTTAAAATCAATATAAACACATTTTGGGACAGCTTATACTTGCCTAAAGGTACAATAATAGTTTTATGTAATTTATCTTTTAATCTACCAACTATTAATCCGCGTATCTTCTTAGACTGACAACTGTGCAAGTAAAGATATTTTATTTCACATTGTTAATTTAGGAGTGATTTTGAATTAGTATATGACATTCTATATGCTGTAACTTGAGGAATATGAGGAATAAAACCATACTCATAAAATACGAAGTACCGAATCCGTATATACTTAGGAATGTTTACAATCGATGATGTTTTTATTGTTTATAAAACACAAATTCTAAATACAGCATTGGCCTAGTGTTGATCTCATGTAGGTTATTGACGAGTTCATACACGTGTTCTCACCTTACAGGCCGTGTCATGAAGGCATCTTCAATATTTGACAATGAGTGCATATAATATGAGCGTTCGCCATCATGCACATTACGAATACTAGTCACCAACTTAAATTGCCAAATTACTTATGTTTTGGCCAAATGTCCCGTCAGTTATTTAAGTCTATTGAAGATTTAGAAGTAAAAAGTTGTCACTATAGATTCAGTTATTTTATCCAACATGCACCTGTTCACAAATTTTAAAAAATATGTGGTACTTTTAGCCACATATTTCTGAGAAAAGTTTGTTTGAAGAATATTAATGGAATATGTGTGTCAGATAGCTTCGAGTACTGATGTACTGTTTGGGAACTCTAACCCCACTTGAGTTGGTCAATGCAAGACCTGTTGTGGAAGGTTGAGGTTTAGCCAAGTAAATGTCTGCTACTTCCTGTGGTAAGAGAGCAGCTCTTAAAACTCTTCCGACCAACACACTCAACACTATAGAACCTCACAAACTATCTTCACCCAGACAGAGGTTTTCGCATCATACTATAGCTTCTTTGTGTTTTATCCTCACAAATAATGCTGCCTGAACCCAAAACGACGGGGCTGTAGTAAATAAAACATGTCGATTAAGAATTATCTGTTCGTAGTTAAACCTCTCTTTCATAATACAATTAACCTTTAGATACGTCTAATCTATACAGCCTTGTGGTAGCCGCGTCTTTTTCAGAAGGGGCCGCCACTATTTATACTGCGGAAAACCACAGTTTGAGTTAGGTGATTTTGAGTTTTTGTGATTATTTTTGCTCAATAAATAAAAAATAACGAGTGACTAAAGCTACAAACTAACCTAACCTAGCAAAGCTGTACAACAGTTTAAAAAGTTGCAACCCTCTTATTAAAAAGACCCCGGAAGCCAATTTGTAATTAATTAAGTGAGAGTGAACTTCAGAAAACACATATTTTATGTTTCATTTTAGTTGTCCTATGTGTATTAAAAATACTCCATAAATGGTTCTAAGGTTTTAAACCACTTTACTTTCGTGTGAGATTTATAGTAAGGTAAACCTTTTTAGTTCTGTTTTGTTAAAAGGTTGTTGATTATAGCTTTAAAATTATAACTGAATGTCTGGGTTTATTCGTATTAAAAGATTCTACACTTATCCTTCACTCACGATCACAATATGCTGATGAGTCAGTGTTAAATAAACAAACTGTCAATTTAATAAGTTTAAGGCTACGATTATACTAGGACGCTGGCGTCCCACTTCGAGCCAATTAGTAATCATGGCTCGGGTTTGGTTCAATTTAATACAATTCTTGGTACCTAATATTTATTCACAAATGACATGTGGATTCATGTATAGTTAGCCACAGAGAAATACAAAGTAAAAATAACAACGTTTGCAGCATTGGCTTTACCGTAGCTCTTGGAGCCACTCTGAGCTATGACCATCGATGTATATAACCTATTAGGTTATATACATCGATGGCTATGACTGAGGAAAATTGTAAATGTATCATTTCCGTGTTATAATGGGGTTGTAGCCAGTTAGAGTGAAAACTTGCGTAAATGAATTACTCCAACAAAGGAATGTAGGAGACTCATTGTTTTGCTGGTTAATGTTGGTGTTAAGTACAACAAGTTTTCAAACTAAATGCACCACCTACTGGAAACTATATAATCATTGAAGTCACATAATCATCAAAGAATAAAAAGAGAGAAAATAAAACTGTCCAAGTTTTGGACAAGCAATCAATATTCAGTCCTGTTTAGTGTAAATTTACGCCTTAGATAAACCATGAACGTCAACCATGTTAATATTGTTTTAGTAATTCTCAGCAATACATATTAGACACGGAATTACGGTGTCAGTGTTAGAAAACAACTTGGATATTGACTTTGACAGTCGGCAGGACCGCCGGCCATCTTGAATTTTCTGCCCATATTGTATATCTGTAGCCCTGACATTGCTCACTAGTTACACAAATAACTATAGGATGCAATACTAATCTTAAGCTTTGATACGAACAACTTTTGAAGGTTTGTGCGTTTTTTTTAGGAAAACCTTCCAAAAATCTTGTAGTAGAGTTATGCCGGAGGTTTAAAAATAGTATTTTTCATACAGTCATCCAACAAAGTGGGCTTCCTTGCACATACTATTTACAGAAAGCCTTACTTTGGCGCACAGTTTTTACTTTGGCGCACGGTTTTTACTTTGGCGCAAACACCAGTATTCTAACCAAACAACACAAAACTGCGTGCTTTTATTATGCCGGTAATCCGTGTACGCTTGAAAGTAAGTTGGCAAAACTAAAAGATATTACGACTACGATCATCTGGTGCAGCGTTTCACATTTCGTTCAATGTTTGGATTTAACTTAACCTAAAAACGTGTTGTACAGTGTATGAAAGACTTATTATTTATATGATTTATAGTAACTGTAGGAAAAATATAATGTGTAACGCTAGTGCAAACTGCGCACTAGTTACACACATAACTATTGAAACTAACAAATTGATTGGCAAAAGCCAATTGCAACCGCAGGGATCCTCAGATTCTGTTACAAAAATACCCCGCCGCAGCAAACCTGCAGACTAAGCAAATTTAAATTTGTCTGATTTTATATTACCCTAGTAATTTAGATTTAAAGTTAAATGGCTATTATTTTATTGTTCCCTTATTTTGTTCTCATTGATCGTAATCGTTGGAATCGGGGGTGTTTATTGGCGTGTTTGATGTACCTGTGAACACGTTTGTAGTGTGTTTGATTAGTTTTGCATATTAATTTCAAAATATCACTTTCCATTTACCGTTATTCTCAACTTAATTATCAGGTCATCTTCTTTATCCTAAGAAAAGTTATCACTTCTTGTAACTTAACACAGTTACAGACAGCTATCAATGATCAGTAAACTATCAACTATCAACAAACTATATAGGTAATGAACGGGATACTATTATTCAAAAGCAAAGTTTTAAAACAGCACAATCATATTTAAAAACTCACCCACTAGTAGAACGCATCAACTTAATCGCCGATTATACTAAATGCATTTTCATTCGCAAGGATGACATATTGTAAGAATTTGTCAAAGGCAAAACAGAATAAGCATTAATTTAAAGAAAACTTTTTTTAAAACAGTGGAGTCCTTGATATTAAAAAACTTTATAAATGTATGAATTTAATATAACGCCACTTTCTTCGTTAGTGTCTACTTCAAGTTTGCTTTTTACAATAAGTGTAGCAGAAAGTAATAAAAGAGCTGTAATATTATGAATTTTTATTGAACATTGTATTCGAAAATTGGTCTTCAGTCTCCAGCTCTTGTCCTGTTCCAACTACCGTTTTTCCTGAGTCTTTTCCTTCAACTGATTTTTTATCTTCTTCCGCTCCAATTCAAGTCTCTTGTTCCTTTTTCGTCCGTATTTTCTGCTGCTGTATCCTTCTTTGTCCTTTGTTCTGTTCCAGATTCTGCTAATCCTATGGGGGTTCCTTCTTCTGCTTTATTCATTTCTCCAGTTCCTTTCTCTGTCATTTGACCTGTTCCGACTGATGTTACTCCTGAGTCCTCAACAGATTTTTTCTCTTCTTCTGCTCCATTCCCTTCTCGTATTCCTTCTTCTGCCGTATTCCTTCCTGCCGTATCTTGCTGTGTCATTTGTACTGTTCCAGATTCTGTTACTCCTGAGCCATTTCCTTCATCTGCTGTATTACCTTCTCCAGTTCCTTTTTCTGTTCCTAGCTCTGTTCCAACTCCTTTTAACACTGCTTCATTTTCTCCTTTTGATTCTTTTCCTTCTTCAGAAATCGCTTTCTTACCACTTCTTTGAGTGTTTTTATTTCTGTACCGGTAGTTGTCAAACTCTATTCCTTGGCATCCACTTCCTTTACGGAAACAAAAACGGGTTTCATATTTTTCATCATAATATTTATCGACGCTGCATTTTTTGCATTTTAAGCCAGGATTGCAGGTATACGTGTAGAGCACTGCGTCAACATACCGTATAGTTGACACATACTCCGTGTAAATGCATGGCTCATCCGCATTACCAGTGGATTCGTGAGAAAATGGGTTCTTTTCTTGTATGTAATAGAAGTCTGACCAGCTGCTGATGCCAAACCAGCAGATTCCTAAGTCGATAACATCTAAAAAAAACTAATTTGTGTTAGATTTACATTTATATAATTAACATTGATAGTGACAGTTATTAATAAAAAAAAATCCAATAGAAAATACCCCCACCACAGCAAACCTGTCGACTAAGCAAATTTCCATTTGAATTGATTTTCAATAAAATGTTTTTAAATAACTGTAGGTTTAACCAGTACCTAGGTTTGCTGCTACAGGGAAACAAATAAAGTTTTTTTTTGTAAAATATTAATAGCTTAGTGAGAAGTAAATAAATTTATTTATTAAGTTTGATCAAAATATGTCCATAAACAAACTCTAACATTTTATAATATTCTTCATAAGAATAAAAAGGAATTTTAAATTTACAATTTTTTGATTTTTTTCTGTTACCAATAACTGTACAAAACACTTTGCTGTACAAATATTTTCTTAAGTTATAAGTTCTTTAAAAAGGTCTAGAGGGAAATTGGGAATTTTTGTGTTTTGGGGGTCATAAATGAGAAAACCCAACTTTTACTCCATAAGACCCCCAGTAAAACCCCGTTCCCATTGTCCGATCACGCTGATTCACGAACTCATTTAATTTTATCCCGCCTTCTCTACCTCAGTTCAGAAATCTCAATTTGGGCCACAGTAGCTATGTTGCGCCATTGAACAGTGCCGCGAGAAGCGCTTGCAGACGTTTAAGTCCTCTCAAATAACTCAGTTACAGTAACATTTAAAATATTTTTATACATATTATTATTTTAAAAAAAGCTTATTTAGAGTTTTTTACTATTATTATGTTCACTAAATTCCATGATTTTAACATGAACCGGAAGGATTTTTCTAAAGCAAAGACAATTGTAATATAGCTAAGAAGTATATGTTAGTATGTGAATACATCTAACGTCTTTCATTATGTTAACTGTTAAAAGTAACTGTTTTGCTTAAAAATAACGGGATCATTATACTGAGCTATGAAAAAAATAGTCCTTATTACGCAACTGTTTTTCAAATTGTATAGAAATCTTTGGCGTCTATGGGGGTCATCAAAGCTTATTAAGAAATTGAGTTCGTAAAATACTTCTTCGTTTTAGCGTCCATGTAGGGAATAAGCTAATACCTTGTTCTGTTGCCATGGACCCGAAACAAATTTACTCTTTCTCCTTAGTTAGTTTTGATGTCCTTAGCACGATAGCTAGAACGAAGATCATCTGATTTCCAATAAATTTGTTACAAACGGGTAAACCTACATTTATTTGAACAAGTTGCACTATGGAAATAGGATTTTATGGGGTAAAACAAATTTTCCTATTTATGACCCTCAAAACAAACAAATATGGCAATTTCTCGTCAAGTTATTTTGTAGAGCTTAAAATATAAATAAAGTATATAAGCATTGAAAATACCGCAAAACTGTAAATTTAAAATCCTCTATGAAGAATAAGAAAAGCGGTTCTAGTTTGCTTGTTTATGTATGTATTTTGATCCAACTAGGCGAATGTATTTATTTTGTAATAAGCTGTTAACATTTAACTAAAAATTCTATTGGATGTCTTCCCTGCAACAACAAAAGTAAGTACTAGGGTACTAGTGGTTGTACTAGTGGTAAGTGGTTGAAACTAGTGCTAATTAAAAAGGGAATAAATTTGATAAGTTTAGGGAAATATTGTAGTGAAAATCCAATCAGACAAACGGAGTTTCGCTTATTGTAGAGGATTGCGGTCGTGGAAGCATTAGGCGATCTCTTTGCTCGCACGGTTGCGCGAGTATTAATTGACACGAGTCATGCCTCTTGCTCGCACACTCGCGCGAGTATTAATTGACACGAGTCAATCCTCTTGCTCGCACGCTTGCACGAGTATTAATTGTCACGAGTCAAACCTCTTGCTCGAACCAGTATTAAGTGACACGAGTCATACCTCTTGCTCACACACTCGCACGAGTATTAAGTGACATGAGTCATGCCTCTTGCTCGCACGGTCGCACGAGTATTAAGTGACACGAGTCGCACCTCTTGATCGCACGCTCGCACGAGTATTAAGTGACATGAGTCATGCCTCTTGCTCGCACGCTCGCACGAGTATTATGTGACACGAGTCGCACCTCTTGATCGCACGCTCGCACGAGTATTAAGTGACATGAGTCATGCCTCTTGCTCGCACGCTCGCACGAGTATTAAGTGACACGAGTCGCACCTCTTGCTCGCACGCTCGCACGAGTATTAAGTGACACGAGTCATAACTCTTGCTCGCACACTCGCGCGAGTATTAAGTGACACGAGTCATGCCTCTTGCTCGCACGCTCGCACGAGTATTAAGTGACACGAGTCATAACTCTTGCTCGCACACTCGCGCGAGTATTAAGTGACACGAGTCATGCCTCTTGCTCGCACGCTCGCACGAGTATTAAGGGACACGAGTCGCACCTCTTGCCTGCACGACTTGGGGTGTTCATAATGCTGGCAAGTTCTCGCGTATTGCTGCAGTCAATGTTGATGCAAAAGTATTATAGTCTTTTGAGGTTTTTAGTAGTGGATAGTGAACTATTTAGGGAAGAATGGATGAACGAATATTTTGTTGACAGGGAAGTAACCGTATTTTGAGGCAGCCAGCACTACAAACTCTTTTTGATAGTATGACGCATAACATGACTCAACAAATATAGCAGAAAATATCACCAATTATGTCTGAGAAATTGTTTATTGTCACTTGCGTCACAAATTGGTCTTTCACTACGGACCCACTCAGTTTAAGGTTAATCCATTTTATGATAAAGCAATTCGATCAGAGAAACACTACACACTGCGTGCATGAACACGCTTAGAAAACAAATAAATTATAGGTTGTACGAAACTGGTGATGCGAGTAACAGCACGCTCGCGCGAGTTGGTGCTTGTAGTATGATCACGCTGTGTAAGTTTTAACTTGTTTTTTTGTTTATCTAAACTGTTTGTTTACTCCTGCACGCACGTGCGAGCTCGCACAACTACTATACTCGTGCGAGCGCGAGAGGAATCTGATTGCAGCCTTATACAGGGCGTTGAAAAAGTCTTAATACACCCAAAAATAAATTAAACAGCTCAAGATAAAATGTTGTAACTTAAATATATCATTATATGATGACTTTGCTTTTTTGCAAAAAATAAAAGTTTTGCCCCTCCCCCACTAGGGTAGATAGGGGAAAATTCACAATATTCAAATGTACCCCAGTTCACACTTCATAACCTTAAGGACATTTTTAAGCTATATATGGGTCAGTTGTGTTGCGACCCATGTTGTGACCCCTCATTTTAAATGTCTTGTTAAAAGAAACGACCATACTGTATATAATAGCTGCCTAAAACACTTTAAAATGCAAATAGACATATGGGCTTAAAGAAATTGGTACAGTACAAATGATAATAAATAACATTTGACAACTAAACACAAATGTTTAATAACTCATTGGAATCTCAACTAAAAAAAAAAACAAAAACAATAATACACATAAAAACTATTAAGAACAGCTGATCTAGCACAATGCATTGTTGTTAGAAAAGTTATTGTTGAATCTCTTTGAACATACGTAGAAATTAATCATACTTAGAAAATAGGGATTAGAGTTTAATTTATTTCATTAATGAGAATTTTTTTGTGTTAAAAAACAATGTTTACCTACATAAACTAGGTCAAATATAAACCAAAATAAAACGAAAATTGTAATCTGACCATGCAGTTTTATTCCTAATAATGACAATAAGAGTTCAGATAACTGTTAAGAAAAACTTTTAACATCCAAATCAACTTCTGTACAGTCTAAAACAAAACATTCTTACATTTCGTGTAATGGACGGTGTTGGATTTTTCATTCCAAATCCATGTTAAAACGTTTTAGGCCGCCATTATGTGCAGGATGCACAAAATTTGCAATCATACCTAACGTTTTACTTTAACAAGACCTTTAAAATGAGGGGTCACAACATGGGTCTTTAAATTTGGAAATTTTGAATTTCCTCCTAAAAGGTTGTGAGGGGCGAAACTTGGATTTCTTGCAAAAAGCTCGAAAATTCATCATATATTGAATTTTTGAAGCTGCAAAATTTCATCTTAAACCGTTTAACTTATTTTTGGGTGTGTTAAGACTTTTGAAACACCCTATATATTAATGTTGATTTATAAAAAAGGTGATTAATTTAAATAGGATTGAATCGAATGCACAAAAGAAAACGCGTTGAAAAAAGAAATTCGGATACAAAATAGGAGTTCTAGGAAACCGTAAAAGTGTGTTAAAAATTGAAAATAAAATACTTACTTGCAAGAACTAGAAGCATGAAAGAGAAATACATGGTTATTCCAATAAACTTCAACTCGACTTAAACCAACCAAACGTTTGGAATATTTGATACGAGTGACATTTAACACTTGACTTTAATTATGCATGACAAAGTGTTAAAGTGATGTTGCTATCACAGATGAAAACATGCAAAATGTGAAAATATTCAACGTTATCCTTATACAGTATATAATACGTGAAGGCGATTTATACGAAACACTACTCCTCCGTTAATAATGGACGGATTTTTACAAACGACGTGTCAAAGTAAAGTATTTTTTGTGAAGACGCCCCCTTTCACCAATTCCTGTAATAAAAATCCTCGGGCTTTGCCCCACAGGCCATCTAAGTTGGAGTTTCTCCCATAAGATTAACATGAGGGAATCTAAATATTTAATTGGAAACTTTGTCCCCACTAATTTGAGAGAACGGCTGGGCGTAGGAACTTGGTAGAGGTGTCCAAAAAAGGTCTTGGTCTGTAAATGAGTTATCAAAAGAAAAACTAATCAAAAACCCTTAGGACTCTGCCCCAGAAGCCTTTAAAGATCCCTCTACAGAGTTGTTTACATTTTGGCCATGTGAATAATACTTTTTAATGAAACAGCTGTTCATTTTTAAATTGTATTTCAAACAATACACATTTATTGGGAGTTACTGAATTCTACCAAATAAGTATTTGCAATGTTATTTTCTGATTTTAAAACTGATTTTCTTCTTTATCATGTCATGTTTTGCAATATAACGTTCCATTACGAAATCAGTGGAAAATCCTTTTATCACAGCAATTCTTAAATTATTTCTTATTGAACTATCTTATATCTATTGTACGGGTTGGTGTCTGCCTTTTTCACCACTTTTGCCTACATTTTATCATATTATTCTACACATATCAAATATTTATGTAGAAATATTGGCTCTTATCGTGTCTAATAAAATCCAAACAGAAACTTTGTCTAAAATGGTACCCATCTTGACAAATTATTTGCACCTGCCTATATTACGGACTATGGCGCACTGGTTTGGTAACATTATTGAAAATAACATACATTTTGGCTGTAAAAGATGGTAACTTACAAAGAGAAAATACTATTTAAGCAGCTACTGTTATGACAGAAAGGTCATAATTCTTTTAAACTAGATCACATAATCCTTTATAAGATACGTCGATTAACAATATGTAAACGTCAATATATACGTAACAGCCAATTTACAGTATTTTTGCTTTTTGGAAATGTCCCATTGCTATGTCATTTGCATTATTTGTTGCCTATGAAGCCATATAAACGAGGAGGCCCCCCTAACAGTACAAGAATAAAAGCCAACTTCTCTTCAAGTATTCCACTACACCTAACATTCCGTAGAGAGATTATATTGACAACTTTATGTTATTGATAAGGCTGAGACAACTAACTGACATCCCCTATGTCAAGGAATTCCAGCTTTAACAGTAACCCCACAATCAATAATTTCTCAAAACTATGCTAGAGGGTTCATCATGGCACAGAAGTACGATATGAACTGACGCGACGCGACGAAGGAAAAAACAAACTTACGCTGTAACGGATATACCTCCCTTTGAAGTTAGAATATGTCTTCCCAAAAAATATGTTCTTTTGAAATAAAATCATATTACACTGATGAAATCACGAAAGTGTTTAACTACAAAAGATCCATCAATGCGATTTTAATACTATTTAAAAGTTCTTCAAAAGGAAGATATACCATGTAAAATACTAATAATAACTCCGATGACGTATGGTATGGGGAATATTTTATTCATTGAATGATCAACCAAATTTGGCAACTAACGCAATTAATATCATTATTGTTTTTACACTTCTTATTACTTATTACTCTTTAAACAATGATAAATGCTCAAAATATGTATATTTCACCCAATTTATCGCAGTTAGATGAATTAACGTAAGCCTTGAAAGTAACCGTCGATTTCGACGGGTTTCAACTAGTATTATATATTGTGTGAACTAAACTTATGAAGGGGTTGTGGAAAGGTTCGTTCATACCCATTTAATTTGAAATTTGATATGCTCTAAATAAATTCAAGACCATTTGTCAGATACGTCTTATTTTACTTGTATATGCTTTTACTCATATCATACAACTTAAATTATCACGGTCTGAATCCTACCACACCCATAGGAATAGATTTAACGATCAGTGGAGTTCATGGGGTTGAAGGTTTCCAGCTACATTCTCAGACAACCAAAAATCACTAGGTTAGGGTCACTCTCTCCCTTTCTAAGACGTGAAAATTATTTACTACTAAATAAATAAATGAGGTCTCTATTCATGAGCGAATTTCAGTAACAAAACTGTTTTACAAATCGACTCAAGTCAGGTCTTAAACTAATCAACCATTCTTAACACAACGAAACAAAATAAGATTAAATTACAAATTCTTTAGGCGAGTCTTACATTTTTTGTAAGACAATGCTTTTAGTGTGCATGGAAGTGCATTGTACTGAGCCGGCCAGAAGATAACCCACTTCTACCAGCATCAATACCAACCCTTATTGGTATGTCTAGCAACATACTACCAGTTGGCCTATAAATTTCGACCGTTCTTGATATGTTTATCGTTCGTACGCCAATACTTGTAAATACCAATGTGCTAATTGTTTATTGCTATGCATATTTTCGTGTGTAAATATCCTTCAAGCATCGTGCGATGTGACTTTTGTTCAATTAATGAATTTCTGCTGAAGATGAACTGACGTCAGTTTGAGACATGTTCAGCACGAAGTAAATACTTCTGACACCGTATATGTTAGCATAGACTAGTATGTTTTTTCTATGATGTTAGTAAAATAGATCTTCATATTATAATTTAAAATTAAGGGTGTCAAGGCTGTGCAATTAAAAATTATTTACTATATTTCTACAATCCTGTGTTAAAGGTTTCTAAATACGTTGCAAATGTGATCCTAGGTAAACAAAAAATATAGTATTACCTTTGACTATGTACTAAGCGTTTCATTCCAGTTTTAAAGTAACAGCAGTGTTATGAAAAAAAAGTAGATTTTTTGATCCAGCGGCAAAGTGTATTAATTTCAATCTCTTGTTTTATTGAAACCCGACTATTCTCAACCGAGATAAATGGGTATCTTAACTTAAGCTATAGAATTTTTTACTAATTAGCAACAAAAACTATGGAAGAAAATATAATTTCTACATCAGTACACTCTGTGAATGTCTCTCCAACTTAGTTTTTATAGAATAGAAAATTGGCCGAGGAAAAACTCGTATATGCTTACAGGTGACCAGAAACTAGTGTAAAACTAAAGGACTGATACAAATATTCAATAAAAACCTCTATTATGCTGGACACAGACCTTTGATTTTTTGTAATATTTAATCAGGTTAGGTCTACACACAAACTAAGCCCTTAGAGATCGCAATGATCAAGATTGATGTTCTTTGCGTTGAGAATACCCCGGACCAGGGTTTCTTACCTTCCGTCATCATCGAGATGACTACTGTCAACAGTCCTCTATAGTATGATACTCCAAACAGGGCCTTTCTCAACACGGGCGTTGGAAGGAGAGTGGTCTACGTCATCGGGAGTGCTTGGGCAGTAGATGCGATTGGGTGGCACAGCCTTGTCCATCCTTAATAAGTAAGATCGGAAATACATCACACAGTCAAAAATTGGGATTGTCATCCCCTACTCAAATTCACTGATTGGCCCCAGGTTAAACTTGCTGAAATTACTTTTAAGGTTAAAATATCCCCTCAAATATACTTCCAAATTATTTTCAAACTCACTAATGCAGCTAAAGGTAAGTGAATGAATGAAATATGAAATAATTAAATAATGAAATAGGCCTACTACAACTTGTTTTTATATTTTAGCGAATTACACATGTAGGGAATAAGCTATTACCATAGTACTCATGGTAAGACCTGGACCCGGGACCGATTTACTTTTTCGTTTTGAGGTCCCTAGAGGCCAAAAACAACACCCGTTCAAATTCAAATATTCAAATATCGTTTTTTAACGAGGGAAACAATGAAATAACATATTTTAAAGATCCCAGACAAAATTTATTAAACGTGTTTTGAATCCTTTAAATTTGGAATTCATAGTTTGAATATACAACTATTAGATATATTTCAAACCAACAAAACTCATACTTGTCAAATAAACATGCACTAAATGCATGTACAAAATAAATTAATTTGTAAATTATTATAATGAAAAAACTATACCTTTTCAAAATTTATTTGAGAAGTTATTACTTGTATTTGAGAATCATTACTTGTATTTGAAAAAATATCAAATGTAAAGGAGATTAGTCAGTTGAATTTGATTAAACGAAAAATGTATTTGAGAATAGTCAATTGTATTTGAGAAAGTATTACATGAAATTGAGAAATTGTTAATTTTATTTCAGAATTAGGGATTTTAATTTGAGAAGTTGGTTAATGATCAGCTGAATTTTGAGTTTCTCAAATACATTAACCATTTCTTAAATATAATTTACTGTTCTTAAATGACTTTGATGCCTTCTCAAATACAACTGACTGGCCTCAAATTTTTTTTTGTTTTCAAAAATATATTTGACGAATCTCAAATACAATTGATATGTTCTCATATAAACATAACTGTTTCTCAAATAAAATTGGAAAGGTGTAGACAGTAATTGATTCTTAGAATATTCTCTTATAATAAGCTATTTTAGGTATACGATTACAAGGCATCCTTAAAATCAATATAAACACATTTTGGGACAGCTTATACTTGCCTAAAGGAACAATAATAGTTTTATGTAATTTATCTTCTAATCTACCAACTATTAATCCGCGTATCTTCTTAGACTGACAACTGTGCAAGTAAAGATATTTTATTCCACATTGTTAATTTAGGAGTGATTTAGATTTAATATATGACGTAACTTATTGTGGAATAAAACCATACTCAAAACATACGGAGTACCGTATCCGTATGTACTTAGGAATGTTTACAATCGATGATGTTTTTATTATTCATAAAGCACAAGAT